GCCCACCCAGGCTCTCCAGCGCCACGGTTGAGGTACGGGGTGCCCCCAAAATGTGTGAGACAACGCGGGGACGTCGAGGGGGGCCATGATTGGGCTAGGAGAGCCGTGGCCCCATCTGTGTGAGGTCCCCTTCCAGGGTAACGGGCGGTGACTGAGGCAGGGAGGTGAGGCCAGAGGAGCCGGGTCACTGGGGCATGACCTTAGAGTCATATTCTGTCCCTGGTAAGGGGGGCTCTCTCTCTGCTGCCCGGTGGCCGGGTCCTGAGCTGCCTTCCTCCGCCACGATGTTCGGCCTCCCCTCGGACTCAGGGCATGGAGCCGGCCATCTAGGAACAGAGACCTCTCAGACCCTGAGTCCCCAATAGAGTTCTCCTCCTCTCCAATCGTTCCTGCCAGGTCATTGGTCACAGCGGAGTAAAGCAAATGCCCTCTGTCATTCCCGCTAGCCCCCTGAGAAGAGAGGGCAGGCGGATCTGTGCCCAGAGGGGAGGAGACGGGGCACCGGGAGGTCGGGGCTGCCGCGAGAGAAGCTGGCATTAGGCAGAACCAGGATTCCCACCCGAGTGGTCATTTCCACTCTTTGGGTGGAAAGGCCTTTCCCCAGTTCACGCTGTCCTTGGCCTTCAATCTAACATGGTGACGTTTCCAAAAAACACACAGGGAGGCCCAGGCAGAGTGACCGGAGGCCACAGGGTCGTCCTGGAGACCGAGAAGGGACAGGCGGTCCAGGCGATCGTGTGTGAGCGCGCACAGCCTGGGCCTGCGGTGAGCTCAGGGTCCCTGGGGTGACTAGGTGGCTTCCGAGACTTCTGTGAGGCCACCCCCGGTGCTGACAGGACAGAGCCCCCCTGCGCGGTCGCTGGCAGGCGGCCTGGGGACCCCCTAACCTAATGGAATGACGCTGTGGCTTCCTTTCCCCTCCTTCCAATTGCTTTCTGCAGGAGGCAGAGTGAGGGAGGCCAGGTCCCCGCAGAGAGGAAGGCTCCCGGGCTCCTGGACGCCACCCTGGGCCTCAGCAAAAGGCGTGGGGACAGACGGCGGGTGGCAGGAGCCCTTTGCAACAGTCAACCCGGAGAGAACCCATTTCCTGTCCTGATTGGTCGCCTCCTCCGCGGGCCGGATCTGGAGGTTGTCAAGTGAAGTGACAAGACAGCACGTCCCCCTGCGTGGGGTGCATCGGTACTGGACACCGCCCCAGAGACTCCACTTCCCGCCGCTCCGTCCGCCTTTCCTCACTGATGGGAAATCGGAGGACCACGGGGCTGGAGCCCGATCCCTCCTGAGCAGAGGGGATTCCCGGTTTCCAGGAAGGGAACGCCATCCCTCTGTGGGGTGTAATTACATCTTCGCTTTCTGCAGAAGAATGGTTTATGGCTTAAATGCTATTAATTGTAAGCCGTTTTGTTCCGCGGGAAGTTGTTCATTGATAACTACCCAATTAGGGTTATTTTGCAATTAGTCTATTCACAGTGAATTTATTGCAAGAGGCGGAGGCCTCCTGAAGTGTGGCCAGGGCTGGGTGGGAGACGGTGCTTCGACGCCTGTCTTCGTAACCGGCTCGGCGGCCCCAGGAGGGCAGGCCACCTTGGGCGAGGCGGTACAGGCCTTAGGACAAGACCCAGGCAAATCCACCCTGCAGAACCGCACCGGAGGTGTCCCAGCATGACCAGGAGAACCGTAGGAACCCCTAGCTCACGGTGACGCCGTATTTATTTATTTAGGGACAGTTGCGGAGCAGGTCATATGGCAAATGTGTGTGCGACGCACAGTCCTGGCTGACCCGGCAAAGCTCTTAACTGTGTGTTCAGCCCTCACAAACCCTCTGAGATAGGCGTGCTCACGTTCCCCTCCACTTAACAGATGGAGGCTACAAGGCACAGAGAGGTCAAGCGATTTGCCCAAGGTCCCACAGCTTGTGAAGGGGCGATCTGGAGTTTGAATCCAGGAAGTCCAGCTTCACAACCAGGCTCGTAACCACTGGCAACATCCCTCCCCACCCCATACCCCCCAGCAATGCCCTCCCATCTCCTTTGTGAATATACCGAGGACAGAAGGGCACAGGGCCAGGTTTATGGGATGCCGGCTCAGTCAACCTGAGTTCTAACACCTGCTCTGCCACCTACCAGCCACGTGCCTCTGGCCAAGTCCCAAACCTTTTGGAGTCTCCATTTCCTCATTGGCAAAATGGGTTCGCCATAGACTGACCTGGTGGGGCTAGAGCGCGGATTCTGAGAGGCCAGCACCAACGCTTCCTAGCTCAGGACGCCGCCATGAATGATTTTTCAACTTAACACGGGAGCAAAAGCCGACCGTACAGCCACGCGGTTTTGCAGCTTCAGAGCTTATTCAATAAATCACACGAGAGCGTCAACACTTTATCACCGAGCGGGCTTCCTGTTAGATGGCTCTGCCCGGCGGTGGCAGCTGACCCGAGTCTTCTGCACACTGCAGGCCGGCTGCGCTAAGCCATGGTGTCTGGCAGGCCAGCGCCTTAAATGCATTTCCAACTCGAGACGGATCCACGGTGGTGTGACCCCATCGTAAATGGAGAAGCATTTACAGAATCGGAACCGACACAGGAGTGAGCCGACCAGGGCCCGCCGGCCCACCTGGCCCTCGCCTACGTTGGCAAGTTCAGTTTCATCAGAACGTAACCGGGTACGTTTGTGTTTGTATTTTTGCGACTGCAGCAAGTTCAGTATTTGTGACAGAGAGTGTAGGACCCCCGAATACCTACGATCTGGCCATTTGCAGAACAAGCATGCCTGGTATACAGTAGGAGCCCATCATTAGTCTCCTGGGTGGGCCTTCAACCCAGGCTTTCTCTGCCAGGCGTCAGGTTAACAAAAGATTCTGGAAACGTCGGCCTCCGCCCAGTGATTCCTATATCCCAGTGCCAAGTTCAATCAGGAGTACAGACGGAGCCACCTGGAGACACAGCCCGGGGGAGGCTGTGAGGGACAAAGGAAGACTCTCTCTTTAAATCTCTCTTTTGAAAAGAAATTTCCGCAGAGCTACACTTTCCCTGCAAAAAGCTCAAGAGCAGAGATGAGCTTGGTTGCAACGTTCAGGCGGCCCGACTGCCGGCCGCAGCGTCTCATAGAGGCCATGTGAAGGGTCTTGTCCCCCCAGCCCTCGGTCTATGCCCGGAGCTCCCGTGGCCGCCACCTGTCAGATCCAAATCCCACATTGTGACTAGTGAATACAGAGGCCGGTCCCCTTGTCCCTGGGGACTTGTGGGGTTGGTTCTGGGCACTGCCAACCAGGCTTCCGGAACCCACAGATGCTCATGTCCCTGGTATAAAATGCTGGGGTTGGGGCTGGGGCTGGGGCTCAGGGGTGGAGCGCTTGCCTGGCACGTGTGAGGCCCTGGGTTCCATCCTCAGCACCACAAACAAATAAATGAGCAAACTAAAGGTCCATCAACATCTAAAATAAAATACAAAGCCGTGGTCTCTATCACCTCTGCCCGACAGGCCATCTCCGGATCACTCAGAAGAGCCGATAGGATGTGAATGCGATCAAAACAGCTGCTGTCTGAGGTGGTCCTGGGAGCCGTCACAGGGGGAAAGCCCATGCTGAGTGCGGATGGACTTTCTGGAATAGTTTCCATCTGCAGTGAGTTGGCTCCAGGTGTGCAGAGCCCGTGGGGACCAAGGGTCAGCTGCACTTGACATGAGCGTGCTCCTACCCACGGGGTGACCTTGGATACTCTCTTCCCCTGTGGGGGTCCTGACCAGAGAGGAGTGAGGCCCCGCTCGATGGCTGAGCTTGGCCTGAATCCACGCTCTTCATCTCAAACGCGGCCTCCTCGGCTCTCAGTGGCGCCGACTCTCTGTACAAAAATTTCTCTTGGATGCCATCTGCCCTCCCCAGGGACAAAACCACCAGGAAAACAGTTACTAACTGGCCCAAGGGACAATAAAATGTAAGCAGGTTCCCAGGGGCCACCTCACAGTCCACCGGTGAAGGGGACGGCAGCCTGGGCATGCGGGGACGGCAGTGACCGCAGTCCTACCCTTCAGCCAGGTGGAGGGGCGTGAGGTCCTCCCCACTCTGGGGCCAGTTAGGACTTTTCTGCTCATATAGAGAGAAAGGGGGGAAGGAGGGGACCTCAGAAAGTGACACTTCATCCAGTCCAGCTCACCTCGACCTCGGGTGACTCCGTGTGACATCTCAGAAGGTCGCTGACAAGTTGTGGGACCTTCTAAGATTTTACGTCTCTTGTCTGGGAAAAAAAATTAGGCTCCCGGCCTCAGAGCTGACCTCACGGGGTGGTGGGTGGGACACAGCAGCCCATGGGATGAGGCTCAGCCAGTGCCTGCAGCTGCGGAGGCTGCGCCTGCCCGTGGGCCCTGGGGAAGGCACTGGTCATGGCCAAGATGCCCAGGTCCCAGCCACGGTTCTAGCTGCAGAGAAGCAGGTGCGAACTCACCTGTGCAAGGTGCTCCCCCTACCCAGGGCCCCTCTACTCTCTGCCCGTGACTTCTCTATTGGCCTCTGAGCCGGCCCTGCGTCTTGGCAGGAGACCTGACTTATCCCAGGGTCACGGGCACCTGGAAGAGCGTCCAGCACCGGGGAGGAGGGAGGGAGGAAAGAAAGTGAGGAGAGAGAGAAGAAGAAACGGGAAGCAAGGAAGGAAGGGGCTGTGGGGCCAAGGGGACAGGAAGGCTGTCCCCACAGAGCTCCCGGGGTGGACGCCACCCACCAGAAATCTTCCAGATCACGCTCAGTGACCATCAAGTCCAGGCCAACCCCCATCCCAGTCCTCTGCTGGGAGAGAACCCAGGCCCTCTGCACGCAGCAGCCCCCTGCCCCCTGCCGCTCCCCTGGGCCCCGATGTCACTGTGATTCAACCCTTTGTCACATAGGTACGGGGGTAGAGCACCGGCAACAGGCGATGGGACTCTTACAAGGGACTTCAGCATCCCCAAAGTCCCAGACCAGCCAGACCCTGCGTTCCCACCTGTGAGGCATGAGCAGAGCCCAGCGGGACTTACCCTCCAGGGGGCAGAGCCGCGTCACCCTCTCGGGCATCAGCAGCCCCAGCTTGTGCTGGCAGTAGGTCTCCCCGATCTCCTGGCGGCAGTGCCTGGACTTGGAGCGGGACAGGGCCGAGATGGCCTCCTTGCCCGAGATGTCGCACCTCGGGGGCCGGTCGTCCTGGGTCTCCCGGGAGCTGCCTCCGCCCCTCCGGGCGTGGGGGGGTCTGGGGGGGTCCTTCCCTCGGCTGCTGTTGGCCGCAGCGCTCTCCCGGGGAGGCAGGGCCTCCTTGGGGCCTTTCCCCAGGAAGGGACGTCCCTGCCCCTGTCCCTTCTCCTGGGGCTCCAGCTTCCTCTGCAAACGCTCCTTCTGCCGACCCGGGGGCTTCTTGGCCGACTCCGGCTGGTGCTTCCGCTGCTGGGTCCTGGGCGCGAAGTTGCTGTTGTCCACGTTCTCAAAGTCCTTGGGCACTGAGTTCTCGTTGTTGCTATCGGTCCGCACTTTCTCCTTGGGCCGGTGAGAGAAGTAGCCGTCCTGCAGGAGACGGAAAAGAGACAGAGAAGAGAGACTTTACCTGGGGGCTGTGCTCAGGGGGCTGGCCCCCGAGGAACCCCCCACCACCACCCCGGGGCGTGCAGCTGTGGAAGTCCCAGAGGTTAACCCAAAAAGCATTCACGGTCCCAAAGCCCACCCCTGGGGCACCTCCGAAGGCACAGAGAGCACTCGCGGGCTCCCTCAGCCTGTCCTGTTGCTACAGAAGCGCACTGGTGATAAGTAGCATCGATATTTTGTTTTGTTTTGTTTTGTGTGTGCTTTCTTTTCTTTTCTTTTTTTTAGGGAGAGTTAAAATGTCCTAAAATTCCAGTTCCCAAGGAAGAGTGGAGAGGGGAGGGCAGTGGCCATTTCCCGAGTGGTGGACAGGGCAGCCCATGCTGTGCTCAGCTCTCCCTCCAGCAGGTCACCACCTGCACCTCGGTGGCCCAAATCTGGCCCGCCACCTGTTTTTGTAAATAAAGTTTTATTGAAACGCAGCGACACCTGTTCGTCTGAGCATTGCCTGGGGCCGCCTTCACGGTACCCTAGGGACTGGGCGGTGGCCATGGAAACCGTGAACCCTTCCGTGGGGCCCTGTAAGGAAGAGTCTGTGGTCCTCGCTCTGCAGGAGCCCAGTGTGAAGGCCTCCTGTCCTCTGCAGAGGGGTAGATGCCCTGTCCTCCTTGTCCTTGTTGGCTCAGCTGTGGCCTGGGGAAATAGCCACGCATGGGGCTGCCCCCTCCAGCTCTGCCCCCTCCTTAGCATGAAGCCCCTGTCCACTCGGGGGAGGTGGTAAGGAGGACAGCCCACACCAAGACGGCCACGGCGCACGTCGGGTGGTGACGCTGGGTCCCCGCAGGACAGACCCAGACCCCCAGCTCCCGACGGCCAAGGAGACGGATGCCGTGGTCCCCTCCCCTCAGCACCGCAGCCTGACCCTGCTGTCAGTCCGCTGTGGACACGAGAGCCCTGGACAGCCCTCCGGAGGCCGGCCAGCGACCTGCTGTGTTGTGTTCATGAGGGACAGAGCCCAGAAGCTGGGGACACCGAGTGCTAGAGTCAGAGGCAGCAGGAGCTGGGGTCTGGGGCAGGAGGAAGGAAGGAGACCGGCTGCTCACCCGGGACCCCCTGAGACGCCAGACGCAGAGGTGCCCAGGTCCCTTGTATACGATGGCATCGTATTTGCAAAGACCCTACAGGCGTCCTCCCATCCCGTGTCCTTCACATCGTCTCTCGGTGACTTCCATCACCCGATACGGTAATTTGGAAAATGGAAATAGTCCTTGAGGGAATCGTGACACAGGAGCCGTGCTCAGGACAGATGCACTTTTTTTCCCCCTGAATCTTTTCACTCTGCCGTCGGCGAAACCCACAGCGGCGGAGGCGGAAGGACGGAGGCCGAGGGCCTGGGCACACGGGGACCTGTGGCTCGGGACCTTGTGGTGCACTTGCCAGGTCTCCGGCAGGTGCTCCCAGAGCTCTGGGTTCCTGCTCCCTAAACACACGGGCTGTACTGATGGCTCTTCTCTGTCCAGAGACCCTCAGACGCGTTTTCTGAGCACAGTGCGACCCAGGCACCACGGCAGGTGACTCACAGGTCCCACACGTTGGACAAGGAGGATGGCCCTCTGGGGAGGACCTCTTCTTGCCGCTCACACCAAGGGCAGCCTGTTGCTGTGACCTTCTGTTCACGGCGCCGTGCGGAGCCCTTCAGTGCAAAGCCTCGCCTGACCTCCAGAGCTAAGCTCCAAGGTCATGCTGCCCTCTGCCATGACACAGAGGGGGGGGGAGGCTGGGACATATGTGCCCACAGCCATCTGGGGAGGCAGTGAGCTTGCTCCTGATGCTGGAGGTTGCTGGCAGGTTGTGACCCTGCCGTCCCCCTGAGAGGGAAGCCAAGAGGCAGTCGGCTCCCCGTCTCCACGTGGGGACCAGCCGGCACCCTCTGCACTCACGGCAGCAGCCCAGCTAGGATGAGCTGGACCGGGCAGGGTGGGATTCAGTGGGGCTCTTCGCGGACATTCGGTTCCCTTCCTTCTGGGCACAGAGGAGGACTGTGCTTCCCCGCAAGCTGGACACAGCCAAGACAAGTGGCCAGGGCTGGGGGCCAGCTCCATCCCACAGCATTGCCACCAGCTCTCATGGGTAGGATCTTAAATGCCCCCAAAGGCCCCAAGAAGGTTTTCAGGGTCACAAGGAGGATGTGGGACCTAGTGGAAGTTAGATATTGGGAGCGCGTACCCTCGAAGGGACATGAGACACCATTCCCCTCCTCTCTCACTTCCTGATCATCACGGGATTGTCAAGTGTCTTCCACCACAGGCTCCCACCATGATGTACTGTCTCCCCACAGGGCCACAAGCAATGAGCCAAGCCACCACGGACTGAAACCTCTGAAACCGTGAGGGAAAGGAAACCTTTCCTCCTTTAAGCTGTTTATCTCAGGTATTTTGATAAACCTTTCCTCTTTATAAAAAGCTTCATAGCAACATTGTTACAGCAATGAAAGCTGACCAAGACATTGGCCATCTTCCTCCTGGTGAAGGTCCTGCATCCCTGAGGGTGGCCAGCATGGAGCAGATTCCACCAACCCCCAGTGGGCAGATGGAACCTCTTCTGCTTAAGGTCACTGAGATTTGGGGGATCTCTGTTACTGCAGCATGGTCTAGCTCATCCTAACTAATGTAGGAGCCCACTTGGTCACCCTTCCTCCCAGCTCTTCTCAAACACAGGAACCAAGTTTGTTTTCATTTTTTTCTTTCTTGTTTTGACTCCAACAGAGAGAAAATTAGTTTGATGGGTCCAACCCTAACAACATGAATTTTAATTCTGTCTTAAAAAGCCCATTTCCTGGAACTTCACAAGAAGGCTGGGAATAAGCCAGAGAAACCCGAGTCCTTCTAGACAGCAACAGTTTTATTCTGGGACTCTTCTCTTTCTGTTAATAGAGGCTCACCAAGTTTGGTGCCCTGAGTGGAAAATCCCCACAAACCCCCATAAACCCTCACAACCCCCCCATAAACCTCCATAAACCGCCTATTTCAAAAGCTCATGTTTGGTGCACTTTCTGGCAGAGTTTCAACAAGCAAAACTAGACCAGGGAGACATGATCCCTGCTCTCCGTCCGCCCAGACCAACAAAGCTAATCTGACAATCCGTGAAGCCAATTCCTCCAGCTAATTTGCACTACCAGGAGCCGGTGCCACCACCCAGTGTGACATGGCCCCGGATTCACCTCACCATCTAACTCAAGGGAGCCAACCTCAACGGGGACGGTGGCCTCGGGCTGGCCCTGTGGCCTCCGCCCGCCTCCGAGGCTGCTCGGCTGCCCCACGGAAATGCAAAGGTTCACGGGCAAGAGGGAGGGAAGATGTTCTGTCCTGTGGGAGGAAGAGCTCACAGATATCAGCTTCTTCCAGAAAAGTCCACAAGAGGCACGGTCAGGGAGAGTCAGCAGGATCCCGAGGTGTGGGACTCCATCACCCCGATCCTCGCTGTTTTCCATAGTGACCAGTGGGTCCTCCCTCACCTTCCCCTACCCCCTTTTTTCTAGAATTTCCTTTATCGTGAGATCAAAATTTCAATAAACTATGACGTTCGCTGCATCGACGAGACGCCCTGCCACCCCGTTTTAAGAGTAGAACGCAGAACCGTTGACCCTGGGGAGGAGGCTGGGGGCAGCTCGCATGCAACTGCCAGACTCCTGGCCCAGCCCTGGGCCCCGCCTGTCCACTCTGACTCTGTGATTGGCACGCTGCATACATAGTCCACGTCATGGAGCCTGCGTCACCTCACTGTCCCCTCTCCTGTGCCATGGGGTCCTCAGGCTCACCCATGAGGCGGCACGCTGCAGGTTTCCTTCCTACGTGAGCAAGAACCACTCCACGGTTCGTACTCGCCACCTTTTCTGCATCCGTCGTCCATCACGGGGCCTGAGAGATCCCCCCCATTCCTCCTGTGATCACCAAGGGGCCGACAGGGCTCACTCTTCTTTCCCTGGGTTCCCCAAGTCCACAGAGCCAAGCTCACGTCCCCTTCTCTGTGCAAAACCTCGGAAGGTCCCGGGCAGATGCCCCTGGAGAGAACGACCATTATGTCCACGTGCCCCCCTGCTCTGGCCCTTCACGCAGAGGATCCCCAGGGCATGGGTCCCGGTCCTCTGGGACACTGGTTGAGGCAGCAGGTACCAGTCCTGATAAGAGGATGGAGGTGAGGCACAGATGTTAAGTACCCGAAATCCCGCTGCTCCCTGTGCCTTCGTTTCTCACCTGGAACATGGGGCCAATCATAATATTCACCTCAGAGGTCATTGGGTGAGGCTGCATGTATGCAAAGCTTCTGGAACATTCCTGTCACTCCAACAGGAGGAAGGATGAGCAATAAACTCCAAGCGGGTACCCACCAGTCCACGCTGGGTCTCGGCTCCTGCACCCGGAGGGCAGACCCGTCATGTCTCCTCCATCACCATCGCCCGGCCACCTCGCCGTCGCCGTTCTCCACCAATCCCGCTCTCTCACCTTGGGTGAGGTATGCAAATGCGACCCTTTGACTTATTTTATTTTAATGCACTTATTACAATGATTGCACATTTAAATGTTTGCGTGCGAGCTCCCAAGCTCTAATTACTCTGCCTCACCTCGGAGCCGTGGCTAGAATCCATTTTTATTCCGGAGGAATAATTAAATGCAATAACGTCCTCCATTTCTGTTCAACCTTGGGCATGTTCAGAGCCCCCTTTCAATCAGGTAGAAATATGCTAAACACAATATGGTCTGCTTCTGTCTTCCCCGGGTTCTGGGAGGTTCCGGCTTCAGAATGAATTCCCACTCAGCTGGCTGCACCCCAGGCCCCGGGTCCTGTTTCTGAGAGGTGGGGGCGGCTGCTGTGCTTTTTGAACTACACACTGAGAGACGCACCTTTGCTCCTGTTGTGTAGATGGAGCACCCAGCGGGGAGGGCAGAGGCCCCGGGCACTTGCCTGGCTTTAGTAACGACTTAATT